TGGCGACCGAGCCTTGGGAGTCAAGCAGCATCAGTTCTGCCACATTCTATTCACCAAGACAGTCACATAAAGTCCTACTGAGTTTCAAGGGTGGAGGAAATAAATTCTCTCTCTTGGTGAGGGAGAGAGACAGTCTGGAAGAATATGTAGCACTAGAAATATTGTGGTGGCAACTTTCGGAAATTACACTGATAGATTTTCTTTTTCATTGTTTTTGCATCTAACATTGCATTTCTTTAAAATTTTACTTTAATAAACGCTGAAGTTAATTGGTACCTTTCTCCTCCTTCCAAATATTATATTACCCTCAATTTAAATGCTACTGTTCCCATATATTTTAGTTTTATCTTGGCTTTTTGTTTCTAATTTTTTTCTAAAATTTCAAATCCCACAAGGCATTATTCCTGCTGTTTTATACAATCAGTGCTTGTTTAGACTTAATATTTACTGCTTTTTATGCTCTTTATGCTTCTTGCACCTCAGACCTTTTAGCTGGGGCCATTGCCCTGCTTCTACCTGAAGTAAATCTCTTGGCATTTTCTTTAGTGAGTGTCTATTGGTGGCAAATTCTCTCAAGTTATCTTTGCCTGAAAATATTTTTATGTTGCCTGGTATAAAATTTTATGTTGGTAGTTATTTTCTCTCAACAAACTGAAGATGCTATTCCACTGTCTTTTAGCATTGTTGTTGTCAACGAGATGTCAGTTGTGAGTGTGTTGCTCTTTTTCTGTCTGGCTGCCTTGGTGATTTTCATCTTTGCTGTTCTGCAACTTCCTTATAATACGTCTAGTTGAGACTTTCCTTTTATTTAGAGACTTATTCTTATTTCTTGAATCTGTGAATTGGTGTCTGTGATGGTTAATTTGTGTCAACTTGGTTAAACTGTGGTGCCCAGCTGTGATCAAATACTAGTCTAAATGTTGCTGTGAAGGTATTCGGTGGATATACATTAGATAGAATCGGTAGATTCGGTGATTGACATTTACAATCAGTAGACTTTAAGTAAGGCAGGTTACCTTCCATGATGTGGGTCGGCCTCATCCAATCATTGAAGGCCTTCAGAGCAAAAACTGAGGTTTCCCAGAAGAAGACGGAATTATGCCTCAAGACTGTAACATAGAAATTCTACCCCAGTTTCTAGACTGCGGGTCAGCTTTGTGAATTTTGGACTCAAGACTGCAGCTTCAACTTGTCTGAGTTTCCAGCCTAACAGCCTGCTCTATAAATTTCAGACTTGCCAGCTCCCAAAATTGTGTGAACCAATTTCTTAAAATTTCTGCCTCTCTTTCTCTCTGTGGGATCCTTGGCTAATACAGTGTCTAATCAATTCTGGAACTTCTCAGCCGTTCCCATTTTCATTTCTTTACTTTTAGGACTCCATGTCGATTTATGTTATGCTTTCTTGCTCTTTTTTCTATGTTTATTGATCTATCATATTTACTACCTTTTGTTTCTCCAAGCTACATTTTAATAATTTCTTTAGATCTACCTTCCAAGTCATTGATTCTTTCTTCAGCTGGGTCTTTCCAGAAGTTTTATTTTATTCTTTTTTTCAGCTATGCATAGACATTCATTACAGTTTCATGTTTTCCACATGTATTTTCAAGCTTGTCTTTTATTTCTTTAAACATATTAAGTGATGAGGATTTTTAGGCTGCTTAATTTTAAAATGGCTTATGATGAGGATTTTTAGGCTGGTTAGTTTTAAAACTACAGATGAGATTCAGGCTCCAAGGAGTGGAATTTGTTTGCCCCTTTGTTGGGAAACATTTACATTTGTAAGGTAAATCTCTATCTGTAAAAGGTGCCTCCATCTCTGTACCAGGAAGAAGAGGAGAGATGACCTTGTCCCTAGAAGCTCTTAATGGGGAAGGCAAGAACTTAAGTTGGTTGCTGTCTGGCAATCTCATGTAACTGGTTTAGGGTGGTGGCGTCTAACCTTTCTAACCTTTACTTAATCTGATTTGATTCTTGTCTAAAAGTCATGGGATCACCCAATGACCAGACCCCACCAACACTGATACCATTTTAACTTTTTTTTCATGTTCTTTCCTTTGTCTTGTAAAGAGATGAATCATATACCTATGCCTTAAATTTAGCTCTAACCCTCAACTGGGGGCAGCAGCAGGAGCTCTGACTGCCCGTGGGTCTTGTCCCCACGCACCAGCTCTGCCTGCCCATGGGTCCTGTCCCCATGCCAGCGGGGGCAGCAGCAGCGGCTCTGCCTGCCCGTGGGCTCTGTCCCCATGCCAGCGGGGGCAGCAGAAGCAGTGGCAGCAGAAGCTCTGACTGCCCATGGGTCCTGTCCCCATGCTATTCTATACTATTCTCTAAATAAAAGAGCACTACTGCCAGATCTTGAGAGTCTAAGAAATCTTTCTTTCGACTCCTCGGCTCACTGACCCCGCATTATTAAGTACAGTCATTTTGTAGTTGTGTCTGATAATTTTGTTATCTGAAGCCCTTGTGGGTTTGCTTATGCAGCCTGTTGTTTTTGCTAAATCTCATTCATGGTGCCTTGTTTCTTTGAGTATTTGGTCTTTTTTTTTTTTTTTTTTAACTGAAATCTGCTCATTTTCTTGTAATTTTACAGGGGATTTCTGCAAATTAAATTCTCAAGCATATTTTCAGTGTGAATTTGGGCAAATTTACATGGGGTCCAACTTAAGCTTCCTAATTCTTAGGGGTAAATTTTCCCACTCTGTTTCATGCCAGGGCTTGAGATGGCCAACTTTTCTTGCTGTCTCGCCTGGGTAAGAAGCTGGGGCTGGGCGGGTTTGCTTCTGTTTTACTCTCATTATCTCTGAGGGCGTAACTCTTTGGTGGTTCCGGGTTTTACGGAGGAAGGAGTTCCTGATAGATTCCCCACCTGGCTGGGCCATGGGCTTTATCTCTTGAACTTTGGGCTTTGAAAGGATGTGACACCAAAGCTCAGTCAAGCTCATCTGTTTCAGAAAATCCTTTCGGGGCTCTGCTCACCTCTCTGAATTTCCACCTCCACTCAGTTCCCACTCCAGGAATGCTGTTCCTTTTTGCCAGTTTTAGGATGCTTCTAAGAAGGTATTTTATATATTTTATTCTAGATTTTTAGTTTTGGGTGGAAGGAGTAAATCCAGATACCTAGACATTCCATATTATTGGAAACTGAAGTGTCTATATATTTTAATGTTAAACCTTGAATTTCTGGGACAAAGTCAAGTCTGTCATGATATATTATATTTATATAATATATATATTATATATATAAACCATGCATATGTAACATTATTGAAATGAGTTTACTACTATTCTGATTTTTACATCTTTGTTTATAGTTGAGATTGTCCTGTAATTTTTCTTTCTTATTCTATCCATGACTGATTTTTTTTTTAAAGATTTTATTTTTCCTTTTTCTCCCAAAGCCCCCCGGTGCATAGTTGTGTATTTTTAGTTGTGAGTCCTTCTAGTTGTGGCATGTTGGATGCCACCTCAGCACGGCCTGATGTACAGTGCCATGTCCGTGCCCAGGATTCGAACTGGCGAAACCCTGGGCCGCTGAAGCGGAGCATGTGAACTTAACCACTCGGCCACAGGGCCGGCCCCTATCCATGACTGATTTTTTTAAAAGCCTGATACTATCAGTCTTTAAATGAGTTGGGGAGTGTTCCCTCCTTTTCTCCTAGACTGAGACCCAGAGAGGGGATGGGACTTGTCCAAGGCCACATGAGTTTTGTAGCGTGGTCAGAACAGAGGTCTCCTGACCCTGAGCCCATGGCTCCTCCTGGGCCCTTCACTGCCACCCAGCCATAAAGAGGGCACAGCCCGGCTTCCCCCTCTGCACTGAGTGTCCAGTTCAGGAGGATGCTGAGTGGGTGAGTGGGACATAGATGTGCAAATGGATGGGTGTATGGTTGGATGATGGATGGATGGTGAATGATGGATGGATGGTGAATGATGGATGATGGGTGAATGGGTGAATGATGGATGATGGACGGGTGGATGACTGCTGGATAAATGGATGATGAAGGGATGAATGGATGGATAACGGCTGGGTTGGCTTTCCCCCTCTGAGCTCAATGGCCCAGCATGAAGGAGGTGGTTCAGTGCTTACACCTGGCGCAAAGCCACCTGCCTGGGTCCGATTCCTGGCTCTACTCTTTAATAGCTGAGAGGTCCTCACAGCCCTCAGCCCCAACCTCCCCAACTGTGCTCATCAGGCCATGACCAGGGTGAACGTGCTCAGCACAGTGACCAGCCCAGAGCAAATGCAGGACATCCCCCATCCCAGACGGCAAGATCAGAGCTCCCTTGCCTGGATTGTGCCAAGGCCCTGGGGCTCAGGTGGAGTCGAGCATTTCTGTGTGGTGGTGGAAGGAGGCTCCTGTTGTCTGTCTTCCCAGCTACTGCTGAGATGCCCGTCAGCCAAACCTGGTGACCCATGTCTGTATTCACCATGGAGGTGATGTCACATGACACTGCCAGACCCCCCCCCCCGAACCTCCCTCTTCCTCATCCCCCAGTTGGGGAACCCCCTCACCTCCCCCCAGGTTCTCATTTCCTACCCCTCCTCTGCATAACCCTCACTGAGTTCATACTTTTGAAAATAGCAGGAAAGGAAGATGTCTTCAGGCAAATTCTGCTTCTTCCCTGTGACCTGCACCCTCTAGCCAAGGGGACATGCAGAAATGACTTCCTGGAACTGGCAAAGAAAAATGATGTGGGGACGAAATACAGATGGCGCCTCAAGAAGTCACCTTGCCCCCAGCTCTGTGTATAGGCTGCAGGACTGGAGCTTCTCGTAAAGACTCCGAGGATGACTATGGGCATCTCTTCCCTACTCCACCTTCTGTGACGTCACATTGGGAACTTGAAATCGAGCGTGAAAATTGCAAACGCTACAATTCGGGGAATGTTAAACATTTACCAGCACAGAACTGGGCAGGAGCCATGGCTAATAGCAGCAGGGATGGGAGGGGCCGGACTGAAATTCAGAGTCGGGATAAAGCCAACAGGAGTCCCTCTCCTTTGTCAAGTTTATTTTATTAAAATATACAGACTGAATATTGGTGGGCACTGAGAACAGGAACCACCCTCCCAAGCCGCACAGAAGGAGATGCTTCTGCCATGCAGACATGCCGCCAGTCCCTGTCCCAGAACGGGAGACACACCACTCCTGGTTGGACGTGTAGCCAGTCTGGCCCGAGGTCAGGGGGGGCAGGGGAATGGTGGTGACCCTCTTCTATGGCCTTGGGCCTTTAGAAGCAGAGCTACACCAGCTGGGAGGTTCGGGCTAGGGGTAGGGGAGGGGGAGAAGATCCCTGAGCCAGGGAAAGCTGATACCCTCCTGGAGGAGAGGAGAGCGACCCCCCAGTCAGACTGGAGATGGGGTGTCAGTGCAGCTCTGGGAGGGAGGATCACCTGTGTGTGGGTGTCAAGGGGTCCCCATGGCTGAGCCAGACCAGTCTTCACAGCCTCTGCTGCCCAGCCTTGCCTCCGAGGGGCCTGCTCCCCCTGGGGCCAGGCCTGAGCAGCGATAGGACGGCAGCCGATGGAATGTATCACGTGGGAATGTTCCTTGCAAGGGCCCCGTGCTGCCTGGGGCTGGGTTCCTTCTCTGGGAGGCCTGGGCAGGAAGGGGCAGCCTCTCTCTCTCTCTCTCTCTTTCCTGGCGACTTTTGTCATCCTGCCACCCGGCCTTAGGGCCCTCAGCCCTCACTATTGGCTCTGGCTTCAAGGTGACACCAGATTCCACTCCCAGAGCAGAACCCAGCCAAGCGGAGTCCCCAGGGTTTGTGCTTTTGAATGATGAGCTGGGCTGGGTTGGGCTGGGGATGGGCTTCGAGCCCCTGCTGCTCTGAGGCACAGAACTGACCCCCACACCTCTTCCCCAGGGCCACCTGTACTGGGGCTGCTGAGACCCAGGCCTCAGCCCACCAGGAGGGCCTTGTCTTGGAAAAGCAGTGTCCTTGGCTCTCCTCGTGGGCTGCGACCTGAGCTGCTGGGGGTGCTTGTGCTTTTTGTGGGGGGTTGGGGTGGAGGAGCAGCCACACTGCTCCAGGCCCCTACCCAGGAAGGGGGGCGGTGCTCAGCCAAACTCCTGGGCTAAAGGAGATGGGGCAGAGGGGTAAGGTGGGGAGAAGCCCCTTCCCAGGCCCGCTCCGCCTCCTGGGCTCCCCGGCTGCCAGCCCTGAGCCATAGGACCTCTTCTCAGGACCAACAACGACCTTGGAGGGAAACAGCCTAGAGGCTGAGGGTATGGGCGGTCCCACCCACTGCATCCCCACTGAGCCAGGACTGGGGCAAGGGAAGGCTTCTCCCATCCAGTGGCGCTGGCAGACAATTCCCCTCAGATTCTCCACCAAGAAACCCAATCCCTGAACTTGAAAGGCCTCCCTTCCTGGGGTGGAGAGGGCACGGAGCCCAGTGGCCCCTCAGCACCCGAGCTTGTCCAGCTCAGTGGAGTGGCAGGCATCCTGGGACCCGGAGGAAGCATGTCCACAAAGCAGCAGGCTGTGTCTCCATCACCACCTCTCTCCTCATCAGAACTTCCTGGACCTTCAGCTGCTCTCCAGGGTCGTGTGGTGAGGGGCATTCTGGGAGTGTGGTTGGTGGGCAAGGAGTGGCTGGGGGGACAAGTAGGCCAGAGCAGCCCCCAGAACCTGGCCCGCGTGTGGTGGGCAGGAAGGGTGGCAGGAGGGCGGGGCGAGTGGGCACACACAGGAGGCACCTTTGCTTTGGAGACTGGACCCTCCTCTGCAGGAAAGCTTGAGCACTCTCCTGCTAACACCCAGGGCCGGCCGCCTGCAGACGCTGTGCTTTGAGCTGCCCACCTGGAGGCGGCTTCGCCCCACTGGCCTGGGACAGGGCCTGGCGAGGGGTGTTCAGCTCTTGTCACCTTAATCCAGCTCCCAGCCAGACTCAGGCCTCCTTGACCCTGTCTCCCTCTGCCAGCCCAGAGGAATGGAGTCCGTGTGTGTGTGTGTGTGTGTGTGTGTGTGTGTGCATGTGTGTGTCTAGAGCAAACTGTTCACTTTTTGCCAAATATATTAGAAAAAAGTTTCTCATGGAGGCTGCTCCTGGCAGGACTGAGGTTTCTTCGGGGCCAGGGGTGGCAATGGCCACTCAGGGAACCCCCGACATGTCCTAGATGACATTCTCGAACAGCTGCATGGAGCTCATGATGTTTTCATCCTGCGTGGAGAGAAAGGACAGGAGGCCAGGTTAGACTCTGGGTGGGCAGGGCGGGGCAGTGCCCAAATCTGACCCCCGGGAACAGATTCTTGCCAGGGACTCGGAAGCCTACAGGGAATGCTCTGTCTGGCTCTCTGAGCGAGGGGGGAGCTGGTCCAGCACAGCCCGTCTTCAGCCCCACAGGCTGGCTGCAAGTCCGTCTGGGAGCTGCTAACTCGCTGATGGACAGACCTCCCTACTGTGCACAGCTGGGGGCAACTGGAGGCCGCCCTGGGAGTGAGGCAGGTGGCCAAGGCCAGTGGAGGCCCGGTGTCCTGCCCCATGGAGGGAGCTCTGCAGAGGAGGGTCAGCAGCAATGCTGGGGAGGCTCCAGGGGCCTTTTCCCAGCGTGACCCCATCCTGCAGGCCACAGGACCTAATCACCCTTCCTAATGACACCCACCATGCCTGCCCTCTGACGTGAGGCACTACAGGGCAGGGCTGAGGGGTGGTGTGCCCACGTGGGTCGAGGGCTGGCAGGGGCGGGTAGGGAGGGGATGGGCTCAGAGGAAAGAGTCAATGTGGGGCTTGGAGGTGGGGAAGGGCCTGGGGACAGGCAGGGGCAGGATCCTGGGTGTCTTCGACTCCCCATGCCACCTACCTTCTGACAGGTCTCGAGGAACTCATCAATCGTCACCACCCCGTCTTGATTGCGGTCCATTTTCTGCAACCCAAGCCATGCCCTCAGTGAGATTGTGTCCCACTAGGGACGGCCCCTGCCCAAGGCCTGAGGACACGGCAGTGGGTGGGCTCCCTCCACCCTAACCTGTTCCCTCTGTCCCCTCCCCCGGATCCAGGCCACCTCCCACCCACAGCTGACCTCTCTGGCATCTTCAAGTCTGCTCCCCACCTCCAGCACCTCCCTGACTTACACTTCCTCCTAGGCTCACGCTTCCCAGAATGCATCCCCCCGCTCATCTGATGCTCTCACCTCCCTGACAGGCAGCCAGAACAGAAGGGCCACGTGTCTAGAGGGCCCCCAGCAAGGGGGAGGCAGAGCCTTCAGCCCCTCTAGTTCCCACGGACACAGAGCAAAATCACCCAATCCCACTCCTCTCACAGAGAATTTCCCTGGAGGAGCTCTTGGAAGGCACCAGAACACTGGCCCGGGGTGACAGCTGTCTTGGAATCCACGAGCCCCGGCCTGCCCTGAGATGAGGTTCAGCGGATCAGGAGTGGGGTTGGTGTTTTAATTCACTCCTCAGGATCCTGACAACCAGCCAGTGGGGGATGCAAGTGTAACCTCCTCATGGGAGGGAGAGGGGCTCAAGAGGAAGCGGCTTGCCCAGGGTCACCCTAAGAGCAGGAGCCCCGTCCTCTTCTGGCTGCCCTTCCCTGCATGGCCCGGGCTGGAGCGCTTACCTGGAAGAACCTCTCCACGTGCTCCAGAGGCGCGTCCTCCCGCAGGATGGGGTAGGTGTGGCGGCCCATCATGTCATAGATCGACTTCATGATGGCCAGCATCTCCTGGAAGGGGGCCGGTGCGGGTGGCATGAGCTCGGCTGCAAGGATGTGGGGGCTGGGAAGGCTCGAGGAGAAGGGGCTGCATTACAGAGTGGGGGGCACCTCCAGGGCAGGGGTGAATGAGTGAGAGGGGCTGTGTGAGCTGGACAGAGACCAACTCCCCGCCATCCAGTCTGCCCAGCACGAGCTTCCGACTCCATGAGACATTGGAGATAGGTTTTTATGTGCAATCGCTCAAATTTGAAACTACTGCAACTATTTCATATACAAAAAAATTGTTTGGGGCAAAAAAACCCCGACTGTGCGCCTGTGTGGTGAGGCACCCGTTTGCACCCTGCCTGAAGGGACCACACTGCCTACACGGATTGGTGGGAGCCAAGGCCAGTCCCCCACCCCAGCTTCTCCACTTGTGTCTCCCTCAGGCCCTCCCTGTAAGAAAGGATGATCTGAGAACACTTATTGAGCTGGATGTCCCGGGCGTCCAGGACCGAGAGCCCAGGAGAGGAGGAGAGTCTTTGGCTGCCTGTCCCTCCCAGCGCTAGGCTGAGAGCCACATCTCCGGACAGGGAGGTGGGACAGGACAGCTGGGGAGCAGACAAGAGGAGAGGAAGAGAGGATGGGGTGGGGAGCGGTGGGAGGGGAGGCGGGGCAGATGGGCCACCACCCCAGCCACCCCCGTACCTCTTTGGTGATGTAGCCATCTTTGTTAATGTCGTAGAGGTTAAAGGCCCACTTGAGCTTCTCGTGGACGGTTCCTCGCAGGAGGATGGAGAGGCCAACCACAAAGTCCTATGGAGGGAGGGGAGGCTGAGGAGTGACAATCCAATACCAGACTCTGTTTCCAGTGATCTGTGTGGCTTCCACTGGGATTCACACGTCTAGAGGTGAGGAGCCTCCGTGACAGAGTGGGCCAAGACAGTGTGAGTGTGTGAATGCGTGTGTGTGTGTGTGTGTGTGTGTGGCAGGGATGGAATGGACGGAATGGTGGCTGATGCTGATCTTCTCAAATAAGGAGACTCAAATACATGGTGTCTTAGACCATTTAATGCATCGCCACTGATAGGGAAGATCTGGGGGGCTTTTTAATAATGGGGAGTACTCCACTTGATCCCCACTCCAATTTTGGATCTTCTGGATCTCAGGAAGCCTGTACCACAAGAGAGAGAGACTAAGGGAAACAGAGTAAAGCAATTTGGGAGAAACGAAAATTACTCCCGAAGAAAAAAACTTAACAGAAACTATCAGATTCAGAGATTAGAAATCTGGCACCCTAAATTAAGACTAGGATAAAAAAATTATCCTTTTATAAAAAAGGAAAATTGAGAACAAGAAAGAGCCGTTCAGAATTCAAAACAAGAAAGGGAAATGACAGATTCAGAAGAAGGGTTGGAAGAGCAAGTGGAATCCTCTATAGAGTAGCATGAAAAGGCGGAGCTGGAAAATGGGAGAGAAAAGAGAAAGATAAGAGGTGCCCTCCGGAGGGACCGACAGTCGGACAGCAGGAGTTGCAGGAAGAGCCAGAGGGAAGCACGTCAGAAGCAGCAAAGGACTTCCCAGCACGGAAGGCTGTGCGTGTCCAGGCCCTGCCGAGGCCCAGCACGCGCATGGAGGCAGCCCGAGGTGTCACCTGCTGGCATACAGCACGACGACACTTCAGGAAATGGGCAGCAAAGAGAGGATCCTATGAGCTTCCAGAGAGAAAAACCAAACCAAACAGAAAAAACAAAAGCAGATCCTGTACAAGGGGCAGGAATGGGCAGGCTCTGCCTCTGGACAGCAACACTGGAGGCGAGAAGCCAGTGGAGCGAGGCCACCACCGCAGGTAGCTCTGGTCCCACGCAACACAGCAAGCAAGAATAAGAACAGGACAAAGATGCTTCCAGACATCCAAAGGCTCAAGTCACCTCCCACGTCCTCTTTTGTAGGAAGCTGCTGGGAGATGGGCCCCTGAAAACAGAGAGTAAAGCAAGAAAGACAAAGGTGACAGATTCAGGAACCTGGAGACCCAAACCAGGAGAGAGGGGAAGAGGTCCCCAGAGGGCACCCAGTCCCCATGGAGGCTGGGGAGGCGCTGCAGAGGGATGCCCATCAGACGACTGGAGAGGGCCTGGGGCTGCACTAATGATGAGGCCACAGAGAGCAGCAAGTGAAGAGTCAGGCCAACGTTTAACTGTGGGCAGAATAAGAACATGTGCCGGAGGGGAGCGCCTCCTCGCAGCTCCTGCAAGGCTCTGCATCCGAGGAAACGATGCGTCCTTGTCCAGTCCAGTCCCACGGTTCTGTCGGAAAGCTGAGGACGGGAAAGGCACGTGGCGCCTCGACTCCCCATCACCCAGGGTGGAGCGTCAATAGGCAGCGTCTCAAGCCGACAGTCAGGAAGGAGCGACAGAGCGGGCCGTCGGGAGCCGTGCAGACAGGGGAAGGTGGCTGCCTCCGTGGGTTGTGGGGGTGGCTAACTGCTTTTTTTCCAAAGCACACCCTGTAAATCTACTGGACTCAAGTCATGTGTGTGTGTGTAAGTGAAGAAAATGAAAATACATGGAAGGAGAAGCAATGCGAAGGCCCAGCACCTCGTCCTCCCATCCTGTCTTCACAGTCCCCGGCCTGCTGTGTAGAAGCCCTCATGGTCAGCCTCCACCCACGAATGTCCCCAGTCAGTGTTCCTTAGCACACGTGTGTGGTATAGTTGTGAGAGTACCAGGAGAGAGGTGGGTGGGACCGTCCCCTGTGAGGCCACTGGCCCATTACACACAGATGACCCCAAGTCCAGGCAGCCACATCTGGGTGCTAGTTCTAACTTTCCAGCCCCACACAGCAGTTTCACGTGGGACCGTCACTAGTTGTAACTCCTTGCCCTTAACTCTGAGATGGACAAAGCCCATCACATCCAGAGCCGCTGCTCTGCAGCTGTCCCTGAGGCAGGGCCCAGGGAGGGGGAGGGGCTCCTGCGGTGACACAGTGACTCCAGGCTAAGACACCCCTGAGGGCACACGAGGGGCACCTGGTGGAGCACAGAGCAGGAGCTCAGCCAGAGGGTGGGACAGAGTGTGTGACTACGGGGGTTGTGGGCATTCTCTCTGGTTACCGCAGTCACACCAGCTTGGCCAACGGCACAGGGAGCAGGTGACTGCAGGGGGAGGTAATGGAGAGGCAGCCGCCGCTCCTCCAGACACCCACCTGGCCATAACTCCAAACGAGCAGCTTGGCCAATATCACTTTCGAGCTGGCTGGGCAGCCCGGCTTGATCCTGGGTGCTGAAAAGCCACCAGCAGTCTGAAGAATTGTTTTTAAAGCTGTGCATGTCACTGGCATGAGGAATGAGTTGAATCAGAGAGGCCCGGGATGGCACGAGGGTTTCGGCGCATCTGTGTGCGCACAGCCCACGCCTGGTGAAGGTGGGCCAACAGGAAGCTCCCTCCTGTGGGTGCATCCCGCAGGATCCAAGAGGACCAGAACCGCTGCTAGACCCTGAGCGGGGATGTGGGATGACAGCTCCCGCTTGGCAATGCTGAGCTTTGCTTGGTTTGCCGTTTTGCTTTCTGTCACTCTTTTTGGTGAGGGCAGGGAAGTTACAGTATTTTACCATATGGGTAACCTTTAATATGTGTCTTGTCTCTCAAGAATATACAAGAAGGATTGATCTTGTAAATACTGATGGGCCAATCTGACTTTCCATTTTAGGAGTATGATGATGAAACGTTCAGCCTGAGTCAGTGAGGGGAGCCGAGTGTCACCCCCACCCCTCAGGAGCCTTTCTGGCCACGGGGATCCCAACCCAGGGTGCGCCCAGCCTGGAGCTGTGCCATTTGGAGGGTCCCTGGGGAGACATGTGCCCTCCTCCCTTCCTGGAAAAGCCTTCCTAGAGCAGAACACTGAAATCAAGGTCCTCAAAGTAAACGAACATACCCGGATGAAACCAGAGGAATTAATTCCACATGCAGAGAAACCCTGGGAAGGCCTGGATGAGGCCACAGATGAGCGACCTTCTGAGAAGGTGCTTCAGCGCCAGCACCCCCAACTCAGCCACTGACAGCACCCCCAACACAAAGACCCACCACCTGCCACCTTAAAGGGACCACAGACCCCTCCCTCAGAGGAGCGAGGGTGACGACCACAGTAGGGTGACGGAGGCCTTCCTGACACCTGCCACGCACCGCTGATGTCTGAGTAATAACAGGCACCCAGCGAAGCCCTGGCTGGGTCCACATGGCTGGAACCCACTAGATTCCTTCTCACACTTTGCTCCCGGAAGTCTCAGGTGTCTCTTGAAGGAAACACAAGAAAACGGTCACAGGGAGGGGCGGGGGAGGACAATGATTCTCCCTGTTTACTTCTTCGTTCTGACTGGATTTTTTACGATGCGCAGGTATCAGTGAAAATTTTAAAGAAAGATGAAAACACTGCACGTTTACACACGCCCTGGCCCTAAGAGCGTGGCCCGGAGAGGGAGGGGTCCCCGTGGTCACCGTGTGAGCAGGGCAGTGGCCTCGGGGGGCCCCACCTGGCCTGGGTGTCGGTGGGCCGGGCTGGCGGCGGCGCAAGAACCCGGAGCGGCGCGTTATCGCCGAGCTATTATTACCCGGCGGCCGGGGCTTCCCGAGCCCGCCCTGCCGGCCGGCCGGCTGCTTTCCTGCCCGCCGCCCTTGGCCCTGGAGCCGAGCGGGCGGTATCGATCAGGCCGGCTCCCAGCGAGGTTTTCCTCCGAAAAGGTTTCAGCTTTTAGCCTGCAGCTATTTTTAGGGCGCGGGCTCCACCGCTGGGGCATCTCTCCAAGGACGCGGGCCGGCCGTGCGCCTGCGCAGAGCCCAGCGCGGCATCCCGGCAGGTGGCGGGCGGTGGGCGCTCCCGCCAGCGCCAGCGGGGCCCAGGCTCCCTCACCTCTCATCGGGCCGCTCAGGCTGAGGCGCGCTGCCTGCTTCCTGGCCAGGGGGTAAACTCTGGGGCAGGGGGCCTGAAACGCCACCCTAGCGCAGACCTCTGAGCTAAACCTTGCCCCCTCTTCAAATGCAAATTCCCGTGGGTCACGACCACCTCCGTGCGCCTCAGGGGCTCCCTTGGCCTGGCGGCGCTGGAATGGAAGAAAAGGCAGCGAGGAGGGGGCCAGACAGCACAAGCAATTCCACGGACTTCAGCTGGGCCCATGGCTGGCCACGCATGGTCCCCTCGTTCCCTGGGCGACACACTGGACCAGTTACAGCCAGGACCATGTCTGAGCCTCTGGACAGCCTCGAAGGGGTGGCACCAGGGCAGGACGATTACCCCCGCAGAAGGCTGCAGGGACAGGGGGTGTGGAGGGGTCAGCAGGGACCTACCTCGAAGCGGATGGCCCCGTTCCCGTCGGCATCGAAGGCATTGAACAGGAAGTGCGCGTAGGTGGTAGCATCTGGTAAGAGCGAGGACGAGGGCTGGGGTGTTTTGGGGCTCCCTGGCAGCTCGAGCCCCGATCCCATCCCAGACAGACCTGCCGAGGGTTCCAGTTGTGTCCTGGGCTGAAGTCCCCCCTTCCAACAGGACAGAGGCAGCACCAGGCCTCGAAGGCAAGGGGTGGCAGGGAGGGTAGAGGTGGAGGTGAAGGTCGTCGTCGTCGTGGTGTGTCCCCCCTTCCCCTCCCCCGGTCCCGCCCCGCCCCGTAAAAGGGATGCCCACCCTCTGCAGAGCTTGGGCTGGAGGGGGACGGGGGTGGACTCCTGGCCTCAGACTCACCTCCCTGAGGGAAGAACTGCGAGTAAATGAGTTTGAAGGTGTCTTCATCCACCAGGCCTGTGGGACACTCCTGCAGCAGGAAGTCACCCCCTCAGCAACCTCCGCCATCCCCTGCCCCACACTCTGCCTCTGCAGCGCTGGCCTCTCTCTTGCCTCTGGGAGATGCCTGCTGCCCGAGCCACTGCTGGGCTCCACCGAGCCCTGGGCTGGAGCGAGCCTGGCCATGGGGCAGGGTGAGGCAGGAGGGGGTAGGTGGGAGGGGTGTCCCCTCATGCCAAGCTGGTCTCTCTGTATGTTCCTCCCCTGTGCCAACATCGAGGCACACAGAAAGGAATGTGGTGCCATCTGCATACCGATTCTGGGTCTTGGCCCACCCCCTAGACAGCTATCCTACAAAACATGAGCCCTGTAAAGGCCCCTGGGATATTTACTGTGCCATGGAGAAGTTTCTAGAAGGTTCGCCTGGGCCAGAGTCCTTCCAGCCTGGATCCAGAGACAGGAGGGCTGGGTGGGTCAGAGCCGCTGCTGGGGGAATGGGGAGCACTCACGTTCTTGAAGCCCCTGTAGAGGGACTGCAGCTCCTTCTTGGTGAACTTGGTCTGTGCCTGCAGCTGGTCCAGCCCCTCTGGTTGGTGGCGCACTGTGGACAGCTCCAGCTCACTGTCGCTGCTGTCTGGAGGGGGACACAGACCCAGGAAGGTGGAACATGTGGCCCCGCTCCTCCATCTTGCTCCAGTGTGGGCACCAGGCCACAGGCTGAAGTAGGGATTGGAGGGAATCTCCTTGCATGACTGCCATGCACGGCCACACAGGCTGTGCACTGCACAAATGGAGGAGCTATAGCGGAACAGCACACTCAGGAGATGTGCCCCATGGCTGCTCTGCTGCCCTGCTCCTCACACAGTGGGCCCTCCCCACTTACCTCACCTGGGGCGTGCCCACCCTCTCAACCACATGCTGGGATGGGGGCTGGGAGCTGGTCTTGTACTGGAGAGACACTGAACAAGGGGAGGCTGGAGGGAAAAAGACAGCAGGACAGGCTCAAGGGACTCTTGACCTTCAATACCCAATTCTGCCACCTCATCCACTCCACCTCCTTGACTTCCCCCAGGAATGGGGACGACACCACTCTTGGCCCATCACAGCCTAACAGGCAGCTGCTCAGCTGCGTTTGCTGTGGGGTGTTGCTCACATTTAGGTGAGAAGTCGGACCTCAAGGGCCTGTAGGGCAGGGACCAGACCTTTTTTTTAGTAACAACACATCCAAATGTTAACTAACGATGGCTCCCTTTGGGGGACGTGGATTTCAGGTGAGCTTTACTTTTTTATTTATGATGTTTTTTACCTTTTCCTAATTTTGTTTGGTATGGCATGTATCACTTTCATAACACAAAATACAGCTATAGACAAAACAGCCCTGAGTTCCTGCACCTTGCTGAGCAGCATGCTCACGTATCACAGAACTTCCCACTGAATGGGAAGCAATCCCGATGCACTGTCACATCTCCGGCCTCCCCGTGCACCCCGCAGAAGCGTGTGGCCCTCCGTGACCATCGGCACGGCTGCTGGCTTTCTCCCTCTGCAGAGTGAGCTCTGCGAGGCAGCCTCCTTGCACTGTGCGCGCGGAGCCTCCCCCCGAGCCTGCAGAGCCCTCTGCTGGGCCTGCGCCGTGCCCGGGCCTCTCCTGAGCACAGCCTGCTCACACTCACCTCGAGAGCACCCTGAAAACTGCCCAGCCATCGGGCTCTGATGCCTTGGTCCATGCACATGCCCAGTCTCCAAGACAGCGATTTCACACCTTCCTTCTCTTTAAATTTCCAGTACCTCCTCCTTCATCCTTACCCTCAGGTTGCTGCCAGCTTCACTGAGAAAATAAAAGCCACAGCAGAAAACTTCCCCAAGTTCCTACCATCACACCTACCCAGCTCCCTGCATGTGGCCCAGACACTGCGTTGCCTCCTGCTCTAGGGATGAGCTGTCCTTGTTCCTGGCTAAGGCAAACTCCTCCGATTGCGCAGTGGGTCCTGCCCCCTCTCACCTACTCAAGCCTGTGGTCCCAGTAATTCTTGCCACTCTTTCCTCCTTCCTTATCGTCTTTCTCCCCTCCCTTCTGGATCATTCCCATCACCATAAGGACATACTGTTAAATCTGGCAATCATTAGTCAAGTTAAGTATCACAAACCTTGCAAGCCAGCAAGCCCACTCTGGGTAAACATCCCAAAGAGAATCTTACCCAACTAAGGGGACCTGCACACGGATGCTCGTGGCACCAGTATTTTTGATGGGGGAGTTGGAGGCATCCCACGGGTCCACCAAAGGCAGGACAGGTGGGCACAATATGGGGGATGCACGCCAGGGAGAACCGTGCTGTGGATTAGAGGTACACAAAGCAGCATGGAGGGATGTTAAAATAAGGTCTTACACCAATTAAGAGGCAGACATTTCAGACTGGATGAAAAGGTAAGATCCAACTCTATGCTAGTTACAAAAAGGATGCCCTTAGCACAAAGATGCAGACAGATTTAGAAAAAGGATAAGAAACCTGGTGTGGCTATATTAATACAGAATAAAGTAGACTTTAAGACAAAGAACACTACTAGAGACAAACAGGAACATTTCAGATGATACAAGGATTAATTCATCAAGAAGACAGAACAACCTGAAATATATATACAGTCGTACCCCCTTATCCGTGGGGCATATGTTCCAAGACCCCCAGAGGATGCCTGAAAGCACAGATAGTACCAAACCCTATATATACTATGTCTTTTCCTTACATACATATTTGAGGTGCAACAGCATAACGAGCACGAAGTTTTTCTTCTTCTTCACAATTTCACGGATAGAAGATTCACTCTCACCGTAGATCTTAGCAACCTCAGCATATGGCTTTTTTCTTTCCTTATTAAGCTGAGAACTTTCACCTTTTCACTTAAAGGAAGCACTTCACGGCTTCTCTTTGGCATATCCGAATTGCCAGCATCACTACTCTTGTATTTTGGGGCCATTATTAAGTAAAATAAGAGTTACTTGAACACAAGCAGTGTTCCTTGACAGCTACTAAGTGACTTACAGGTGGGTAGCATATACAGGGTGGATGCACTGGACAAAGGGGTGAGTCACGTGCTAGGTGGGATGGAGTGAGATCTCATCACACTACTCAGAACAGAGCACGATTTCAAACTTGTGAATTGTTTATTTCTGGAATTTACCTTTTAATGTTTAAAGATCACAGTTGACTGTGGGTAACTAAAACTGTAGAAAGCAAAACCACAGATAATGGGGCTACTGTATATACCTGGTAACAGAGCTTTAAAATACCTGAAGCGAAAAATTCAGAACTAAAGGGAGAAAGAGATAAACCACAATCATAGCTGAAGATTTTAATATCCTTTTCCGGTAAATGGTAAAACAAGTAAAGACATAAAAAATTTGAAAAACACTCTCAACCAATTTGATCTAATTAATATTTATGGAACACTATGCCCAGCACCTGTAGAATACATGTTCTTTTCAAGAGCACATTCTCTAGTTACCAAGATACATCAGATGTTTGAAGATAAAACAAGACTGACCAAAATGGTATTAAATTAAAATCCAAAACAAGATATCTAAAAAATTCCTAGTACTTGGAAATTAAACAACACACTTCTAATTATCCCATAGGGCAGAGAAGATAAATCACAAGGAGAATTTTGAAATATATTGAATTGAATGATAATGAAAACACAGAATATCAAAATTTTCTGGATGCAGGTAAAGCTGTGCCTACAGGGAAATTTTTAGTTTAAATTCCTTTATTAGAAAAGAATATAGGTGTAAAGCCAGTGATATAAGCTTCAGGATCCATGCTTTTCAGAATCTCGAAAAAGAAGAGCAAATTTAACTCAAAAATTATTAAAATAAAGAACATAATAAAAATAAGAGTAGAAATCAAGGAAAAAGAAAACAGATAAACATACAGGAAAACCAATAAAGTCAATAAGAAACTCAGTAGGCAAGTCATAGACTGGAAAACATATCTGCGGTGCACATATCTGACACAGGACTCATTTCCAGGATATATAAAGAATTCCTACAAATCAGCAAGAATACAACTACTAACTGAATTTTTAAAATAGGCAAAAGACTAGACCACTTCATAAAAGAAGATATACAAATGGTCAATAAGTACAGGAAGAGATGCTTGGCAGCATTAATCGTCAAAGAAATGCAAATGCTCCAATGCAAAGTGCAAAATACCCAATAATCTATCATTTCAAAAACACTGACACCACCAAATGCTGGCAAAGACATGGAGCAACTGAACTCTCCTATGTTGTTGGTGAAAGTGTAAAAGTGTATAACCACGTTGGAGAACTGCTTGGCAGTTTCTTATAAGCATACATCAACCTTATGACCCTATTTACCTAGGATAAATGAAGACATATGTCCATGAAAGACTTGCACAAGAAGATTCATAGTAGCTTTATTCATAACAGTCCCAAACTGAAAACTGCCCAAACAATCAACAGAAGAATGGATTTGTGGCATGTGCACATAACGGAACACTACACTCCATTAAAAAAAGAATGAACTATTGATACACGCAACAACATGGAAACATCTGAAAAACATTATGCTCAGCAAAAAAGCCAGACATGCGAGAGTTCATACTGTATGATTCTATTTATATGAAGTTCTAGAACAGGTAACACTAAGGCATGGTGATAGAAAGCTGTACAGCAGGTGGTTGCTGAAAGGGTGCATACGACTGTCAAAACTCACTGAACTGAACACTTAACACCAGTGCATTTTCTTGTATGTAAATTACACCTCAATTTTAAGAAAGAAAACATACTGCTTAGACTTCTGTCAGCTTAATGATGGAGTAGTGAGTGTCAGACTTACCTTCCCATCACAAACAACTAGAAAACTGGAAGAAATATATGAGGCAAGTGTTTAAAGGTCCTGGACAACAGCACAGATCTTTGAGAGAAAGGAAACAGATGAAGTGGGCTCCACATTCACCCTGGATCTTGGCTGGGGACACTTTCTGGTCCATGATGTAGGGAAGGAGAGCACAAGCCAGGGAGCAGCAGTGAGGCAGAGATGAGGCAGAGATCAGAGTTTGGAGCAGCTGAGGCAGATGGATTTGAAGAGTAGAGTCCTGGAGAGGAGGGAACCACACAGAGGAGTGGCCCCACAAGTCTGTGTGGAGGTTCCCCTTGGGGCCTTGGCCAAAGGCTGGGTTATACATGTTCAGAATGGGACTCTGTGAGGCTCAGGCCAGAGCAGCTGTTGGAGGGTAGGGGGACAGAGACCTGAAAAGACCTCTCAGAGTTCATGCAATAATGGGAAAAGTTGGAGTTCTGGCTCAATTAGAATGGAGATATCTCACTAAGCAGCTCCAGCACTCAGTCGAAACCCCAGAAAGGCCATGCTTTCAGAGCAAGGCTCATGTCCAAGGGTAAGGGCTGTGCTCTAGAACTAAGGACAAAGTAAAAATAAACCTATTCGAACCAAGTCTAAAATAAAGTCCTGTCAAGATCAATTTATTGACCACCAATAATCTGGCAGTAATTTAACTGCCCACCAAACCAAAACTCAACAGCCTTTATATTAAGATAATATAATCCAGATTCCCTACAATATACCACCCACAATATCCAATAAAAAATTAAAAGACATGA